ATTGTTCGCTTAGTGGAACTGCAATTACAGTTCATGGTATATCAATTCCTCTACCTGAAACTCATACCGTTACCGTCTCAGCGACCGAAAAACCTACTATCGATATCAACAAACTAATACCAAAGGAGTTCCACCGCTATATTCACATGTTTGAAGAATATTATGCTTCAGCGCTTCCGCCACATCGACCATTCCATGATATGAAGATAGTATTAGAAGAAGGCAAACAACCACCATGGGGACCAATATATGCTTTATCCCAAACAGAGTTGAAGGCACTTTGGGACTACCTTCAAGAGAACCTACCTAAGGGGATTATCCGTCATAGTGAATCACCAGCGGGGGCACCTATCCTATTTGTCAAGAAAGCTGATGGAACTCTTCGTTTGTGTGTCGACTATCGGGGCCTCAATGCAATCACGATTAAGAACCGATACCCATTACCGTTATTGAAGGAAACCTTGACCAAATTGTCGAAAGCAAAATATTATACTAAATTGGATTTACGTTGGGGATACAATCAAATCAGGATAGCGGAGGGGGACGAATGGAAAACGGCATTCCGGACTCGATATGGACATTTTGAATATACGGTAATGCCTTTTGGATTAGCGAATGCTCCGGCCACGTTTCAACACTGGATTAATGACATCCTGCGCCCCTATCTCGATCAATTTGTGACGGCCTATTTAGACGATATTCTTATCTATTCCGAATCCCTGGCAGAGCACAAGGATCATATTCAAAAGGTTTTAAAGGTACTTGATGAAAATCATGTTCACCTTAAACCCGAAAAATGTGAATTTATGGTTCAAGAAACGAAATATCTCGGCCTAATCCTCACCCCAAATGGCAACAGAATGGATCCAAAGAAAGTTATTGATGTTCTAGAATGGTCGACACGGACAAACCTTCATGATATTCAAGTATTTTTGGGGTTTGCAAATTTTTATCGACGGTTTATTTTGGGATATTCAAAGATTGTCGCCCCGCTTACAGCCCTAACAAAGAAAAATGTTAAATTCGAATGGACGGATGAAAGGGAGGAAGCATTTCAAACCCTAAAAAAGATGTTCACAACAGCACCTATACTAGTTCATTTCGACCCAGATCGAAAAATTGTGGTGGAAACCGATGCATTCGACTATGTTTCAGCAGGAATCCTATCACAACGTGATGATGAAGGAGTTTTACATCCGGTCGCTTTCTTTTCTGAAAAACATTCCCCTGCGGAATGTAACTATGAAATCTATGATAAAGAACTTCTAGCGATTGTTCGATGTTTTGAAGAATGGCGACATCATCTAGAAGGAGCACAATTCCCCATTGAGGTTTTTAGCGATCATCGAAATCTGGAATATTTCATGACGACAAAATTATTAAATCGTCGACAAGCCCGTTGGTCCGAATTTCTTTCACGCTTTGATTTCGTTATACAATTCCGACCGGGAAAACAAGGAGCAAAACCCGATGCATTAACTAGAAGGTCAGGTGACCTACCTAAAGAGGGGGATGAAAGGTTGACGCATCAGAGTCAAGTGGTTCTGAAGCGAAAAAATTTGGATACAAAGCTAAATTTGTTCGCGGGTTCTTTATCAAATGAATCCGCTGAAGGAATGTCCACTGTGGAGGAGTTGTTTTCAAAAGCTTACCAAGTTGATAGTTTCCCAAACGAGATTCTCGCTATGCTTCGGAGCGACGTTCGACATTCAAACAAAATTTCACTTGCCGAATGTACTGAAGACAATAACGGTCGGCTACTTTATCGAGGCGCACTCTACGTACCAAATGACAATAACCTCCGGCTGAGACTCCTAAAAGAACATCATGATAAGTTATCGGCAGGCCATCCAGGTAGAGCGAAGACTTTGGAACTCCTGAGCCGGGAGTACTATTGGCCACAAATGCGGAAGTATGTCGACCTGTATTTTAGAAATTGCCATGTGTGTGTCCGTAGCAAGGCACCACGCAATTTGCCTTATGGAGTACTTCGTCCAATGCCAATGCATGATGGACCATGGACGGATATTTCGATGGATTTTGTCACTGACCTTCCTGAGAGCGATGGATATAATGCGATCCTAGTTGTTGTTGATAGATTAACCAAAATGCGACATCTGATACCAACGACTAAAGAGGTGGATTCGAAGGAAGTAGCGAGGCTGTATATCGATAATGTTTGGAAGCTACATGGACTACCTGATACCGTTGTGTCCGATAGGGGAACCCAATTTGTTGCGGAATTTTGGAAGTCACTTTGCAAATGCCTGGAAATATCCCCACGATTCTCCACTACTTTCCATCCTCAGACTGATGGACAAACTGAAAGGATCAATGCCGTAATGGAACAGTATCTTCGAACTTATGTTTCTTATCAACAAGATGATTGGGTCCGACTATTGGCAATGGCTGAGTTCGCAGCAAATAATCATGTGTCGGAGACAACAAAGGTCTCTCCTTTCTATTCCAATTCGGGAAGAAATCCACGCATGACTTTTGGGCCCTTGGAACATGGCAAAACGACAGCGGAAGATCAGGCCAATAGCATTGCAAAAGAAATGAAGGATATGGTGGAATTCCTAAAGAGCGAAATGTTTCGGTCACAAAAGGTACAAGAGGAATCAGCCAATCTAAATCGTTCTCCCGCCCCTCGTTATCGTATCGGAGATAAAGTTTTCTTATCGACGCGCCATGTTTTGACAAAACGAGCCTCCAAGAAACTCGACTGGAAGCGGATTGGCCCTTATAGTATCAAACGAATCGTCAATTCCTATGCTTGCGAGCTAGAACTTCCCCGCTCTATGAATATCCATCCAGTATTCCATGTTTCGCTATTGTCATCTGAAGCAGGTAACCCGTTACCTGGACAGAAGCAATCACCACCACCTCCGGTTGAGATCGAAGGAGAAGAAGAATGGGAAGTCGAGGATATTTTGGATTCTAGGAAGCGAAGAGGGAAATTTGAGTACTTGGTACAATACAAAGGATACGACGATGCCTCCTGGCAACCGCTATCGGACCTCGAGCATTCACCTGATATTGTTCAACGATTCCATGAACGTTATCCACGAAAGCCTAAGCCTACCAGGAGGTAGGTCTTAGAGGGGGGCGTGGTCTGTAACGGCAATATTGTATCTCGACTAAGACGATAGATTGGGTCGTGTGGAGGAGCGGTTGCGTAATTGAACGAGGATTTGTAATGAGGTTTCTGTTATATTCTTTTGGTTTCCGTCACGCGAGGTATTAGTCATCAACAGACTAGGAGTTGGATATATAAAGGAGCGTTGTCTCGTGTCTTTTCATGTTTCTCTTCCTTTCCTTTTCTCTTCACGGAACCTCTTGTACTTACTCCACGAATACTACTTTGTTCTACGCCTCGTCATAGGGCTCAACTAGTTAGTCATACTAGGCAGAGCCACTCCATAGTCCACAGTCTTGAATATCTATTGTTACGTCTTCGCCTCGGTTGTATTCCTTGGCATCATAGTCCCTACGTCCATAGACCCCCGTTACAATAGGTGTTCGGCGCTTCCTCTTCGTACGATGAAGGACGTAGCGCAGAGGTAGTACTTGATGGCTGCTGTTGCCACTCGGGGGTGCATATAGTACCTTGGTCCTTTTAATAGACTAAGCGTTTATTCCTCTACTGAGAGCACGGTGACTATCCGCCACTAGTCAAAATACTCAGAGTATTGGGTTAAGCGAGTAGTTGTCTTATCGAGACTTTGGTAGTTTATGCGATAGGTAGAGGGTAAAAACTTAGTGATAAGGTACAATATGGTGTTTGATTCCTCTGAGTCATACATTTGAAAAATTACCGCCGATTACAACAGTAACTATGTAAAGCGTACTCAAGAAATAAAATCTGGCTTTGCTCTTCAAGTATTTCAAGGATCACTAGTGTTTCCAATAGCGTAGAGTAGGTAGTAAATACCTCGCTAAGAAACCCGCCAGGTCCAACTTGCAACTCATCAAATGGATGTTACTCAGAAATCGGCGGTCTCTACAGGTCTTAGCGGGTCCCTGTTCTGTAGTCCCCTATTCCTTTCGGATTCCTGACTTGATGGTTGATGATACCCTCAAGTCTTCGTAGAATCATGTCCTATTTATACATGTTGGAACCAATGCCAAGGCCCGCTTTCTAATACTAACTGATACAATGATAATAGAATAAGATAATGCTCCCGAAGATAACTCAGATAGAAAAGCGCCCCCCGCATAGTTCCGTCCTCCATTCTAATTCCGACACGTAACCATGAACCTTGCAATTGCCGGTTATTGGGCTGTACCATACTATTATCCTAGACCTACTTCCCTAAGTAGAACAGCCTACAGCCGTAAGCCCCGCTTCCTATTCTATTTCGGGTCAGATACCCAATAGTAAGCGTGCCGTCATAATAGCATAATACTAGTGTGGTAACACTGCGTGCCCCCACACTACCCGATACTTTTCTATGCTTGTTCTTTCGTTACCCTACCGTCCTCGCATCACAACCCGTCACTCGTATTCCTCACTGTCCTAAACCTCTAGGACAGTGCTCCGTAGTTCCTGTAACACGAAGGCCACTCATGGACAAGATCCCAGGACCGCCCACATGGGAAAACTGGCTATTCACCAACCTCAACGTAGACCTGGTTTTACAATTCACAGCAAAAACCAACCTACTCGACTGGTACGAAATGAACGAGGAGGACTCAGAGGAATGATGACCGGTTTATTTGTTTCTTTCTTTCCTTTTCTGTACCTTCTTATGTCTCTTCGCGTTGCATCTCCTTATCTTTCCTGTTCTTCCTTTTGTTGTTTCTTATGTCTTGATGGCGGAGGCTTCGGCATGCGATAAGTCCTGGACTTCAAAGCAATATAAAACTATCTATCTATCTATCTTCTTTGTATACAATAATACAACGCTATACTTCTCTCTCTTATCAGAGACCGCTGCACCTTGTTTGACTAATCCGACAGCCATTACTGTCGCCTTCCTTAACCTGCGGAATAACCTTCACCGCCGCCCCTTGAGAGTGAGGTATCGGAGTCTGAGGTTCTCTTTGGTGAATTGTCCGGTGAGGGCGATGATCATGGAGGAGTGGGACTTTCCGATTCTGGTTTCTGGTTTCGATAGCCATCTCGGGATTTGTGTCAGTTCGAAGGTGTTACCATAGTTGTGTCGAATTTCCGAGGCTAGTGGTTGTCCTGCATCAAAGGCTTCTCCTATGGAGGTGGGAATGCCGTGGAGGATGAATTTCGACCATCTAGGGTTAACCCGGATGTCGACGAAGGGTACTTTTAGTTCGTTCAGGGCGGTTTCGATTTCTTTTTTGTATTCGAGGACCTTCGTTGCCGGGGTTACAAACTTTGATTCCAGGATGATGTTGTTCTTGGTTGTTTTCCAGGCGGCGATTAGTTGAAAGTCGGGGTCTTGGATTTTTGTGTTTATCTTAGCTCTGATGTCCGATGGGGTGACTGACAGTTCCTTGTTTGTTTTGGTTACGATTTCCCGGTTGAGTTTGGTAATTTCTGGTTTGAACAGGGGGTCCGCTTTGGGTTTCGTCTTCCTCTTATTCATGACCGTCGTGAATTCGGGGTTGGTGTTTCCTGCTGCGATGGATACATAAGATTTCGGTGCTGGTAGGGTCGGAGTTTCTTTGCCTTTTCCTTTAGTTTGTTGGCCGTGGTTGGGGTTGGGGTTGTTGGCGGTGGGTGTAGTGGGGGTGGTGGTGGCGGCAGTGACGGCGTTAGGGTTAGTTAGGGTTAGTTAGGGTTAGTTAGGGTTCTAGTAGGAGAATGTCGGACAGGATTTCGAGGTTGCCCGGGAACCGTCGCCCCACAATTCCCAATTCCGTACCTACGGATTAAACAGGCCGCCCAGAGTCCATCGCCATCGTCAAATATGTAGGTACCGGGGGTGGTGGTCGTGATGGCAGGGGCGTAGGTGGTGGTTGGGGGCTGTTGGGTAGGGTAACTCCCTGTGAGTCTTGGCGGCCTGTCCTGCAGCACTTCCGGCGCCGTCGCTCACCGGTAGGGTACCACGATCGATGCCTGCATGGTACCGAACGCACCGTCTCAACCTCACGATCATGACGGCGCTCGAAATTTAACGATGCCGAGTTTCCCCATCCTCCGCTTCGATGGAATAAATGAATTTCGGATTCTGACCTCCGGGTTACCGCATTGGGCGAATCCCACTCCTCGACTGCGCTGTGTTTTATTATACCGACTCGGATTCCGATCTCCAGCCTACCGCCCTGTGTGTTTTCTAACAGTAATTCGGATTTCAATCTCGGATCATGATATTCGCAATACTTGAAACCCAATATGTGAGTGACAATCCATGACCGACATTCCATATTCTGTATTGTTGCACTCTGGTTTTAAATATCTCCTGGTTAGGGTTGCTCAAAATTTCAAGAAAATTAATTACTTCTGGTAACTTACTGGATTATTTTTTCCGAGCCACAAACTGAATTCTTTTGAAACATTTTAGTTTTGTCTGAAAGCCGCTAACCCCGAAAGCTAACGAAAATTTTCAAATATACTTAGAAACTAAATTATGATATATAATATTAACAACTTACAATCCTAACAACGCCAATAAAATTTTTTACAAAGACAATAATGTTTGTCAATAGACTGCAGGATATACTAAAATCTTATCGCATATTTATTTGTACAGAACGTTATTGACACAATTGTCCCTGAATTGTGAACTCTTATCCCTCCCAAATTACTTGTTTAATAAAGGAAAACAATCTTTGTAACCATAGCAAAATACTAATAAACTGTCATACACAACCCCCTTATGCCTATCTACCGCATCGAGCTCTGCAGGCAGGAAAAGAAGACTTTTACAAGTCTCTCCTGTCTCCAACTGGCGCGGTATATCCATCATGTCGCAATAAGGCGTCCTGAACATATGCCTTTTGAGAATCATAACAACAGGAATTTTTGCCCCCCAACAGTTCGCCGAAACCTAACAAGCTCAATCAACTTAATCTACTATCATCGAACAAACCGAACTGAACAATGAACCATTCTGAATCTTCGCAGAATCCACCTCATACAATGAATCATACATACCCCGATATTACTACATTTACTCAAGGTTTGTCCTACAGGAAACAAACGGCGGAGTAGACCTGATTTTTATGTTTTGATTAGATTAGTGCAGGTAGTCATTGCATTACTATTATTTCAAAGTGGAATCAAAGTACTAAATTGCTATAAAAGAACCCGGTACCTTTTCAGAAAGTGCAGTAAAACAAGTGGTAATAATGATTCGGTTGAGTGCGGAAATAATTGTAACACCGGAGGATCCCTGTAACATGAGTACAGCGGTGCAGGTTTTCTCGTCAAGAATTGATTTCAAATTGAAGATATTGCGAGTGCTTGTAGAGCACTTCGGATATTCCTAACAGTTATCAGAATGGCTTCCTACAAATACCCCTCCAGTGCAGCACCTCATGTACTAAAGCGGCTATGACTCTCAACACGATTTGAGGAAGATGGAGAGATTGATGACCGTGAGATATCTTCCTTACTATTAACCCCACTGCCAACCTGCACTCAGACTAGTCAATTGACAACTGTTACCTAAATAGCCGGGAAAGGTTTTCTTGGTTCTTCCGAAATCTGCACTGGGAGGAGCAGTCCTCGGGGGGTAGAATTTCATTTCCCCGAGTAGCATACTGATAATTTTGAAGCCCAAAAGGAGCCTAAGGCAATTTAAGTACCCGAGGCGGAAGAAATAATTGATACTCGCTACTCAGACTATTATAATGCTCCGAAGAACGACTACGAGAGCTTTCAGGAGTATGAGGATGATGTAACGGGGGCAGCCTATCTATGTATCGCTAGAATCCAATAGAATAGATGCGGCCGTGGAAGATAGAAATCAGGTGCAGATTTATTCAAAGATACTATCATTAGAACTCAATAATCCTTAAGGGCTCTGCTACCGATAATAGGAGATGATTCTGATAAGTTTCGATGAGGATTCCGGACAGTTGGGCGGGAATGATCCTGAGTACTTATACTCCAAAGGACTCTGTTCTCTGCTCCTACTTACTAGGTTCCGGTGCTGCCTTCCAGCGGAAGGGAAGCAATTCCATCGCCACCGCGCTTCTCTCTAAGCGTCAGCGAGTGCTTCCGGTTCCGAAGGCAACCACCCTTAGTCAAAGCTTTTGTAACACCTGCAGCCTTTGTTGCCACACAACTGGGGCCTGCATGAATGAGCTGCCACTCAGGTGTAAGCTTAATTATTGCTGTAGAGCTTTCGCTTATTGTAGACTTCCCAGGCGTAATCCCTTCCATTACCGGCGGACTTCACATGCTCAGAGGATGTAGAGGATCGCCGAGCACTCAGAGCTTCACTCTGGCTGGCCTTCTAATCATTGGCGAGGCACAGACTCATCAGTCATTGCTCCCATGAGTAGATCCTCTTCCTAGCGCTCAGAATGTAGTTACTCTGACGGCTGGTAGCTAACCACACTGCCGGTACTTGCATGTCACTGTGCAACTGGCTTCTAACAATAACTCTCAGCATGTAACCGGGCCCTGTGTGTACTAATACACCAGACAGTTGAAAAGGCTCCATTACAGATGAACTGTATGATGAACCTCAAGCCCTCGCCTTAATGTTAGATGCAGAGGTCTCAGACTGTTGGAAAGGGACCTCATACAATTCAAGAACTGCCAGAGCACTGGACAACGCTCAAAGGAAACCAATTGCTGTTGTAGCGGAGGTAATTACTTCTTGCGACGTATCGGTGGATGTGGTACAGGTTCGACTCCATCTCGCCCCTCAATGCTTTTCAAACTTTTAGTATTAGTGGTCAACAGTTTAGAGAGGAACTTGTCGGGGCGCGAAAGTAATACGTAAACAAAGGAGAGCAGCACCCACTCTAGCACCCAGTCAGAATGCATGCTAGAGAGCACTGCCAGCATCCCAGAGAGCACCCCCGACATCCCAGATAGCACCCCCAACACCCTCACAGTATAGCCCCTCTGCACTTATTTTTCTACATTAATATACTTCTTCTATGCCCTAGATCGATTTTTCCTTCATGTAATCTCGCAACGGAATGTCGTCTCCCACGTACCGGAAATATTGTTCTTTACCCCGTAGCAAAGTAATTGGCAAGCACTCTGTTAACAGTCGTTCCGGGAATTATCTATATATCGTATTTTAAATCTTTCGATGGGGTAAGAATGCTAGGGGTTAGGGATCCCGAATTCCCATAGCCCATAACTCCTACCCTTATTTGCCTGATATTGACAGCAATCTAGTACGGCAACCGCACGTAGTTAACAGGGAGTTACTTGAAGCCTAATAATTTTCAGTCAAAGAATGTGGCTTTTGTGAGTAAGCATGGCCCGATACCCTCATTGATATGGCGAGTGACTTGGGAGTAATGCCGGAAGCTATTAGGATTATACGGGATTGCCCAACTGATATCTAAACACTACTAGAAACGTTCAACAGTATGAGCAACGTTTAGAAGATGGGAAATAAATAGAACCAGGAGGCGACCTTGTAGGTAATCAAAGACAACCTTTGAGAAAAGGAATTATACTTCTAGATGCCGGTATTCCGAGTGGTATTCTAAATGATTACCCTAATAGATACGAAATAAAAAGGGGGTAACCATTGAGGTGTTACCGGAGGAGGATTTCAACGGGGACAATGAAGCGTTGGTTGCGGATTGTGCCAAATTCCAAATGCTCAGAGAACAGGCACGAGTACTTCAGGAGGGCGGGTTTGTTCCGACAGTACCCAGTAAAGAGTGATTAATGCCCAACCTCGCGGTATTGACACCGAAGAGGAGGGGGAGGAGTAAGGGGAGTAGCTGTGATTACTTGTAGCGAGGGATTATGGAAGGAGGGAGAGCAGGATTTGTAGAACAATCGCGAGTGTTAAGGCAGATAGTGGAGGATTTGTTCTTCTCCGTATACATTATTGGAGTTAGTTGGGATATTTAAATAGCATATCATTTGAGTATTAGGTGGGGTATCACGATATTGAATAGACCAATGCTATCGGTCCAGTCGTGGGTGCTATGGAGGCAGTAGAGATCGTCTTCAGCATGATGTTTTGGTAATCTCATTGGGGGATTTTGAATCCTATAGCCTGGTACCGTAGAGAAGTGTAATCCAGGAGAGAATGGGGTACCGACATATAGGAAACGGTACATCATGTGTGACTCAGATTTCAAAGCACCTGATCTGGCAAATTCAGGAGGCGTCAGGGCAATAAGTCTATCCTAGGGCCAACCGAAGAAGTTGGGAGTAATACGAGCGTAGTAAGGATAAACAAGCAGGCAACTAGCATACCCTCTACATATTAGTCTAAAGAGCGCAAATCAATCCAATTATATAAGTATTATTACAACTGAAACCATAAATCATTAACAGGAATCGGAAAGTTTAGTTTATCCACGAATCAGATTACATCAGCAAGCTACCGTATGTCTCCAGAGACTTCTACTTCTCTCTAGAGACAGCTGCTGAGGCGAATTGTCTCCTCAAATCTTCCGTGGATACTCGTTTCTCGCTTACTCCCTTGAACCTCAGGAGCTGCCCTGTTTTCTCCGTATGCTCTATAGGGATATTATCCAAGACCTCCACCGAATACCGAACACCTGTACCGGAGTCTGTTAGAGGTTCAGATAGAACGTTGTCAGAATACAAACTAATGATTAAACACACCGGGCAGCGTCTCAATTGTTATATACTGCTTGAGGAGCCTTGGCCACAACTAGACTGTCTTATAGTTAATATTCGAAGATTTTGGCCAGAAGCAAACAATCCTTTTAATACAACTTGAAATCTGACTGAAAGTTCTAGAACAGACGTGAGTAGGTTTAAAGCCTTCTATAAGGTTTTGGGAGCCCTTGCTTGTGCGACTAGGTTTAAATTGTATTTTTATAAGTGAGATTAAACCTTATTTATCCTACAAACACTATATGGCGAAGGGTATCCTGTATGGGATGAATGTGTTTCTTACAGGTGATAAATGGGCCAACAAAGTCAATTATTAACTCGAAAAGAACCGTTTCATTAGTGACCCTGACAGCTATACGGTAAAGATTTTTTGTTTTCGGTTAGCATTTTAGAAGACTCCAATGGACTTCAGACAGGCAGTTGGCAATTACAGGCTCCGGAAATCCTGTACGTGATATTTCTGAAGTATTACAAAGACGAAAAGATGCATGGTACAAAGAATCCTCATTTCGTCGATGGTAATTCTCCAGAATTGGTATGCATGGTCTGTACGGGGATCTGGTTTGTCCTCCGATATTGGACAACTGTAGATTACATAGAAGTTGTGCTCAACACGAGCCAGAATATGGATATGATTCGTAAGGCGTCTCCAGCCCTGTGGACGGCTCTTACTGCCTTTTGAAAGTGAAGCAACGCATTCTAGGATTAAAGATACATGGAAGAAGAGAAATGTACAGTACCAAGTGGGTACTTTAGAAGTGATACGAGAAATGCTTGGAGAGAATGTCCGAATCCCCATCCAACTACACATGATGCTGCACGTACTAATAACGTTACTATATAGGTTGAGTAATTATAAGAACCTGAGGAGGTGATATCGAAGGTGGGACCGAAGGAAGATGATGAGCCATTGGCATCAGATATTACGCCCTGGAGGGCTGCAAACGCCTATCGCAAGGCATAGGGAGATAGAGTTACGGTCGAGTATATCAAGTTTGACAATACTTGTTTGTCAACATTACTGGTTGAGAGGGTAAAGGAGCTATATGAAGCGGCAGATGTTACACCAACAGCTTCAGAAGCCTAACACGAGCATAGGAAGCATAATCGTTAGGAATTCCTTTCGTGGAGATGGATAAATAAATGTATTGTCTCTACGCTCTATCAGTAATTTTGTATGCTAATATATTACTATTTGCTTGGGTTTGGGTTACTGAATTTCAATGAGCCTTGTTAGAGTCTTCTCGGAGGTTCTCCTGAAACATCAGTAGAGCGGCTGGGTACGCAGCAGAGGATAGTGGGAAGACAAGGTGCTTGGGAGAGGGTATGAGGTAGATATTTCCCTCTCCCATGTCAGGAGAGTTTAGGAAGGCTCGCTCAACCTTGTGTAGGAGTGCGAGGGGATGAAGAGTTTTCCAACTGGCTCAGTAGAGTGTAGAATACCTTCCCGAACCCTCGGTAGTGTGAATGGGGGTATAATAAATTCCTTAATGATTCAGGATAGAATAAGATTGCCCCGTAGATATCAGGAGGGTGTGGGAGAGGTTGAACTTCTTTCTTATTGGCTCAAGAGAGAATTGGACGCCTTGTCTATCTCTCGGGAGGGTGTGAAAGTGGTTAAATAATATTCTTAATAACTCATTGGAGTATAGGAAGACGCGTCAAGCGCTCAGGATTCCATTTGAGGGTGTGAAAAGTTTTTTTATTGGATCAGGAGAGTTTAAAATTGGGTAAACGGGTTTCCTACTAACTCAAGAGATTGTCAGGATTGTGTATACGTAAATGCGTATTTGTGATTATTATTTTACTAATAGATCACTACCGGTATTGCATGAGGGCAGGGGATAAGAATCGTCCTATAGAGTGTATCGGAGACGTCATTCATTTTCGGGATTGCATGTTGAGGCTTTTAAAATTCTATATCTGTTATGGTGAAATGCTGTAACAACTCTCGTATAGCCTCCCGAACAATTAAGAAGTCTCCGGACGATTAGTCGAGTTTGCGAACCACAGAAGAGAATTAAAGTTTGTCGGGTATGTCCGGAGATCTCCCATGTCTCCCGTTCCTCTGGTCAAGTTGGTACGGTTTGCTGAAGTAGTAACTATTACTTATTAACCACATTCCTATAAATACAGCAGTAATTTCAATAAATCCAAAGCAAGGAAAACTCCCAAATTAAATCCAAAAGCTCTCGTAATATTGTCAATGTTATCAGCTGTCGTTCCCATTCTAATCTTCAACTGCTAATAGTTCACAAAACTCAGACTTTATGAACTAAAAAATTTCGCCGTGAATTTTGTATTAAATTATTCCCCGATTTCCATTTCAATCCAAAAAACCAACAAACGTATATTTCTTAAATTGAAGTTGTAAATATAATATTGACAAACCCAAAACTGATTTAATGAATATGAATAAGAATAAAAATATGAATATGAATATGAATACGAATAAGAATATGAATATGAATATGAATATGAATATGAATATGAATATGAATTATAATACTAAATACAAATTATTCCAAATATAAAATATGTATTATGCATTATAATACTAAATACGAATTATTTCAAATATGAAATATGTATTATGCATTATAGTGAATCAGAAATAACGAAATACGTATTATTTACGTCAATAAAGCTCAATCCATAAATAAGAAAATTTAAATTAAAAGAGTGGGGGAAATAATCCTACGTAATATGTATTATTTCAAATTTATATATTACTTAATACGTATTATTTCACAAATTAATTCATATAATTCAATTACGTTAAATATAAACACAATGTATTGGAATTTGAATATATTTGAGACAATTATTCAAGTATAAAATGAAATGTATTTAATAAAAAAATAAATACCCAATATGAAAGAACAAAACCTACGTAAAATCCAAAAAATATCTAACATCCAAAAAAATACCAATGTTTCAAATATGAAATATGAAATATGAAATAGAAAATTAAAAACCAATTTACAAAGCACCAAGTCTTTCCATGAATTCAGGTGGAATACAAATCTCCTCCAAAGTGTTAACCTGCTCCTTTAATCTTTGCACCTGCTCACTCATGGCATCCAATTTCTCCTGCAATTCAATCTTCTCCAACACCAGCCTTTTTTTCTCCAAATCAAACTCCTGTGCCTTTGACTTCAAAGTGGAATCAATCAAGTCTCTAACACCTGATGCTGGAATATTATCAGTATGGACAAAACATCAATTGGAACCGAAATACATACCACCACTAAACATAGCTTTCATAAGCACATTATCATCAATGGCACCACTCCTCATCAAATTTTGTGTTTTATTACCTGATGTAGGGCCCATTGTTTTGGGTATGGATTTGGGGGTTTGGAGTTTGATTTGTTTGTTCTATCTGATGTCAGTAAAATTATTAAAACAACAGGGAAGTGTAATACCTACACTAATACCAATTTCACTATCACCCTCCTTGTCATCAAGTCTTTGTCTTTTACCCAACCCAACTGATGTTTTTGATGGATGTGGTGAACATGTTTGTTTGGGGTGCACACTATGTTCCCCAGCACCCAATTGATTCAGTGGTTTGGGCTTTTTCAACTCAATTGTTGGATGGGGCTTTGGGGTCCTGCTGATGTTTTTTGGTGTTTTGCCATTTATGGGATTGAAAGAGCTTCTGGGAAGATTGTGTTGAGGTGTTTTGGTGATAACATCACCCTCACTATCTGAACTAGATGTGCTGGATTTGTATTGGTTCTTGCTTAACTAAACTTACAGTTAGAACATTTGTATTTGGAATATGGGATTTGGAATTTGAATTACCTTACTCACTTCAGCATATATCTCACCAGTACTAAGAAACACCCTCAAGTCATGTTGGTCCTTCTGTGATAAGTGACCAAGGGTAGATGTATCCTTTAAACTCCTTGCCCTTTTATCAAATACCCAATGAAACCCTTGTCTTTTGGCTGGCTTCAATGTGGCATCCTTTTCAGCAATAGGATTTTGAAATAGTGTTTCTGGATTATATTAGCATAATACAATTTTGGAGGTAGTGAAATACCTAAATGTGCCCTAATGTGAGCCTTGCTGTGGCTCAATTCTCTACTCTTCTTAACTGATTGAGGAGCTCCCTTTTCATAGGGATCCAACAATTCCATATCAGGATAATTGGGTGTTGACAAAACATATTTGGTGTCTGGGTTGATGAAGGTGAGAAAGGTAGTTGGGGCAACCATTATGAAATTGTATTGAAGAGTGTATTTGGGTGGGGAAAAATGTGTATTAATTGATAAATATTTGAGTGGAAATTGTGTATTGATGGGATTTGGGTAGTGTGCTGAAGGATGAAGGAAGGGGGAGAATAACTCTGTATTTAACAATTGCACAATAACATATTTGAGAACTGGAAGCGCTAACTCCTACGAGTTAGTACGATTTCGACACATGTGAATATTAATGTTGGGTAATATTGCAAGGTTTGATTGTTACATCACGTAAAATTTAGATTATTTCAAATTTGATATCGTATGACATTATAGTGGGGGTGGAATCCAACACTTGTGATATGACCGCATATCTGTATTATTACACTATATTGTGTGATAAGTGCGCATATGTGTATTATTAGTATTTGATATATCATTCATATGCAAGTAATATGAAATGTGATATGTTACGACAAATGAAATAACAGCGATCATTTGCATTTGTGGTGAAACATACTAGGCTTCCCCTGCAGGATACGCATTATGCAGTTGGAATGGCAAAACACCAACCGCATAATGCAGTTGGATTTCAAATATTGTTCTGATAAGCATTGACCCCCATACTTTTATGAAACACAATGAGTCATACGATTGCAGGATAGATTACTGAAACAGGCAATGAAAAAATTTTCACCTGAGCGCATGCGTTAGTGTGTGCAAGATTACACATTTTTGAAATACTGTATTACCCAACTAATTCAAATTTCGGATTTGTTGCTGAATAATACAACTAAGGATAGAATATTAAAGCGTGGTTTTCCCACCACATATTCATCAATCAAGCACTTCTGTTATAATCATACACCTTTTATATCTTTACCCCAATTCCAATAACTCTTTACAAACATTCACAATGTCACACTATTCAGCCAACTCAATTAGAGACAACATTTCCATTGCCACCAATGAAGATCTATTTCCACAACCTCCAACTGAAAATGAGGAGGAAGAGGGGGAGGTTGCTTCAATTGTAGAAGTACAGCTACAAGAGGTGAGATGACATTCAATCTTGTATTGTGTTTGGCTGACATGTATTGTAGGTGCACTCCAATGACAATACAGGTGTTGCAGCTCAAGCTATTGCAGATGTATTGCAACAACACATTAAAGGGGAAAATAAGGATCTCATTTGCAACCAAATACAATCACTCTGCAGTATGTCTATCTCCTCATTTCATTAAACATTTCACTAATACACATTTAGAATTCATTCTTGAATTATCCAACAACACATCACACAATCCAACAGATTCCAAGAAGATTGAATTCCAGGCAACCAAAATCCAGGAGATTAAATCTGAAAATGAGCAATTGAAATACAAAGTCAATAAGTTGGAAAAGAGGTTGAGGGAATGGGAGGATTGGAGATCAGACTTGTATAGCAGCAAGAAGGTCAGTATTTCAATTTCAATTTCAATTTCATATTACATTAACTAAAATTGAAATACTTTATTAGATCAAATTACAACAACAGAAGGTGGAGTTGAAGTGTAATATGGATGCAGCTAAAAGGGAGAGGGATGTAATCCTCAAACTTCCTGACACTGCCACCAAATACTTTGAACTCAAATCCCCCTCTTGTCAGCTTTTTACCAACAGTTTGAAAGAACTGTGTTCAAGGAAAATGAGAGACAGGGTGTCATGGCTTGATGACAGTGTTATTAATACATTCTTTGTTATTTTGACACAGGAAATCTGTCAGGTATATGGGATGGGATATACTATCACATTGAATTCTCACTACTCCAAACACTTTTTGGATCTTCCTGAGGGTGAGAAGGATGAGGATCTAACACCCAGACTTGCCAGAGCTGGTTACTCATTCAAAAACACTAAGTATTTCATATTCCCTATATACCTGCATGGGACTGAACATTGGGTTTTGGTTTGGGTTGATTTGGATGCAAGGAGTGTTATTGTATACAATACACTCAAAAGTATCCAATTTGATTATTCAGCATTAGGGAATGTAAGACAATCCCTTTCTAATTGCATATTTCAAAAAATGCTAATAAAATACAGAATATTCTTTTTGCCATAGAGGCATACCAACAGGCCAGGCAGAATCAGGAGCAACTGAACACTGATGATTGGAATATTTCATTAAATACTGTAAGTTATACACCTAACGTTTGAAAATTATTTCCATTACTAAAACAGTTAGGATTATCAACAAAGGGGTTCAGCAAGCTGTGGGGTTCATGTATGTATTTTGGCCAAAATGATTGCATTTGGAGAGGATTTGAAGGTATGGGGTTCTGATGACTATGCAGTCAATGGTTATAGGGATTTCATTTTGGGTGTTTTTATGTCTTATTGTATTAAAGTTTAAATTTTTCTTGGTTATTATATTTGTATTTCAATTTCACTTTTGATAAATTCGTATTTCAATTTCACTTTTAATTATTTGGGAAATTTCTTCCATTCTATTACCATTTAAATAAAGGCTGTATACACAATTTGAATTCCAATTTCTAAACAAATTCATATTCATATTTGTATATTTATACCAATATTCGCATTATTACGTATTCGAAATCTGAAATATATTTTGATATATTTTGACAGCAAATTAGTATTCATAATACTTGCGTATTCATAACTTCTATTTTAGCTTCAAATCTTTATTAACAGAAATAGTCATTTGAATTCAGAGTCTCATATGATAACTTTTTATTGTTGCTAAACATAACCATTTATAATATCATATTTCGAATATTTCATCATTGCAGTTAACCATTTTCGTAGATTTGAAATGTGAAATATGTATTCACAAATTTTTGGGATACATATCAGTAAATTAGCGGAAAACGGGTTTCGTCATAACGTATCTATTCGCACAGATATCCAACTTCCCTTTCCGCGCCTAAAACTTCATTTATTGCAACCAATAACTCATTCCGCTGAACTAGAATGTGAGACATATTCTTTTGGCAGCTAGTGAGTATACAAAACGTATTATTTCGACTTTTAACGTCTAGTAGTTGTACCAAATATTACACCTCGCATCTTGACGCTACACCAACTCCCAAAAGGTTACTCACCGTGGCGAATATGTGTAAGTCATGACGCTAGCACTGACATTACCAGGAAATGACGTTAGGTTTGACATATCGTAAATCCAAACGTGCTTAGCTACCGGCCTATCTGCCTACCTTCCTCTCGACAGATATTTCAACACATAACTACTATCAGAATCGACACATTCCTCCTACCCGCAGTGATTCTTACCTCCTACCCCTACCTGCAACGAAGCCTAACTCCTACCAGCAGCGATGCCTACATCTACACCTACCTCCTAACAGCATCGACGAATGGAGACATCTTTACTTGCCTCCAAATTGTGACGACAGCACTGACAACACTATAGACTGCCAAACGAAACCAAATCGTCAAGTAATTCCATCAAATTAGAATCAAATCGATACCCAAAACGAAACCAAAACATCGAATGGCGCCAAGTCGATACCTAAATCAGAATCAAATCTACCGTCAAATCTACGCCCAATGGACAACTACCGGTGTACCCAATTGATTTTGATTGAGCTCCTCATTGACTTATAGGCAGGTATGCAGGCAGCCGGGCAGTTGAAGTTTGGAGTTTGGTAGAAAATGACTTGAGTGTGATTTGAACACTGAACATTGAGGGAGGATGTGTTTTTGTAGTAAGAAGAAGATACTATTGCGCCGCTGAAGTTCCATCGACAATGTGGGCATTAACACGCTCTATATATATAGATATTCTAATACCAAATGATCCTCCGATTTCAGATTCCCTGGGACTAATCCTTGTCTGAATCCATATTCCTTCCATGAGTCATACCTTATAGATTAGTAATTCCATACATAACCGATATCGCAATGTCCTATTTCTACACTTCCCCTCACTTGCCATATCGTATCAATTCTGATAATTTTGGGTGGGCTGATATCGTTAGTACTTTGGTCATTATGTTTGGAATATTGTCTTCGGTTGGGAGATAGAGGCGTTTGAAAGTTACGGCTCCAAGTTGTTCACGTATGTAGTGACACTGAACGTCAATGTGTTTGCACCGTCATGGAGACGTGGGCTCCAACAGAGTACGATAGACCCTTTATTGTCAGGGTGGATGTTGTATTGGTATTGTTGTTGGAGTTCGCATAAGGCGTTACGAATCCATACCAGTTGTCGAGCTGTGAGTGACAGAGCTATGTATTCGGCTTCTGTTGAGACTGCGACTGATTTCTGCTTCTGGCTTCTGCAACTAATGGTTGATTTTCCTAGTATGAATACCTATACTGAGGACGATTTTCAGTCATCTAGGTCTGCAGCGTAGGAACAATTTGAGAAACCATTGAGTGTTCGAGTGTTTCCTTTTGGGAAGAATAGGTTACAGTTTTTGGTTCCGTTGAGGTATCGGATTTTTCGTTTGGCTCCTCGTAGTTGGTCCTGATTTAAGCAGGAGGAGTACTGAGAGATGGCGGTAACGGTGTAGGTGATATCAGGTGTTGTTGCTATATTGGCATACATGAGTGAAACAATTATGGATTGATACTCATTTGTTTTCTTGATTTGCTTTTCCAGTTCGCCTTTATTAAGACTCAGATTCGGTTCGAGTTGTGTGCCGACTGTTTTCTAGTTATTCATTCCAAATTTGTGAAGGATTTTGTGGATGTATGCTAGTTGACAACGTGATGCTAATTTTTGTTACCGTTATTTCTATCCCCAGCAGGGATTTCGCATTGCCGAGACCCATACATTCAAAAGCTGCTTGTAGTAGTTGTCTGATTTCGGTTTTGAATAGGGAGTCGGGTCCGAATATCATGATTTTGTCAACCTCTACCGATATGTACAGTTGGTATTTCTTATATATGAAGATACATGTGTCGAATATGGATGGGACAAATCCTTTCCGTTGAAGGAAGTCTGTTAGGCAAGCGTACCATTCACGGGGTGATTGTTTTAGTCTATATACATCAGCAAACCTGTAGCCTTCGCCAGACGCCCGGGGCGCTCAGGGCGCTCAGGGCGCTCGGTAGGTAAACTACCTCTCCAGAGATACCGCCAGTGCTACTAGCGAGGTCTGGCGCACATTATTCCGCCCCAGCGCACACTAGTCCGCACAACGGGCCCCGACACTAAATAATAGCGCCCGGTGTAACTAGGACGTCACTCTACCCGCCAGAGAACGCCAGTTACACGGTTGGATATACTGACTGCTCCTGCAGCACTCTTCACTGCTCCAGCGGGCCCTGGGGATAGAATGATTGCCCTGACTCCCCCTGACGTTGCCGGATGGGGTGCTTTGAAATCTGGCTCATGCCCGACGTACCGATTCCTACATGTCGGCGCCCCGTTCTCTCTAAGCATACACCTCTCCGCCGTTCCGGCCTCTGGTATTCAGAATTCCCGCATGAGATTACAAAAACATCACTCGCACGACGATCTCTACTGTCTCCAGAGCACTCGCGACTGCACTTTGAGAATTGGTGTATTCAACACCGTGATCCTCCGCCTAATACTAAATTCAATACGCCATTTAACACCCTAACTAACACTAATACAATATACGAATCAGAAGAAATCCCCCACTATCTCCCTTAGCACTCGTGATTGTTCTACACATCCTCCTCCCCCCCCCACTATCTCCCTTAGCACTCGTGATTGTTCTACACATCCTCCTCCCCCCCCCTTCGTAATCCCCTGCTACAGGTAATTCCGTCTCTTCTTCTTCCTCCTCCCCCTCCTCTTCGGTGTCAATGCCGCGAAGTCGGGCATCAATCACTTCGTCCTGGGCGCTGTCGGAATCAACCCGACCTCCTGGAGCACTCGTGGGTGTTCTCCGAGCATCTCGGAATGCGGCAAGATCCGCAGCCAGAGCTTCATCGTCCTCGCTAAAACCCTCCTCCGGTATAATCTCAATCGTTACCCCTTTTTTATCTCGTATCTATTAGGGTTAGCATTTAGAATACCACTCGCATTACCGGCATCTAGAAGTATCATACCTTTTCTCGAAGGTTATCTTTGATTACCTCCAAGGATGCCTCCTGGTTCTGTTTACTTCTCCCCTTCCAAATGTTGCTCATCCTGTTGAACGTTTCTACTCGTGTTTGGATGTCAGCTTGGCAATCCCGTATAGCCCTAGGAGCATCCGTCATTGCTCCCAAGGCACTCGCCATATCAATGAGGGCATCGGGCCATACTTACTCACAACACTCTCATTCTGCGACTGAAAATTATCAGGCTTCACGTAACTCCCTGTTGACCACGCCCGAATGCCGTGCCAGATCGCCGTCGATATCAGGCAAATAAGGGTAGGGGTTATCTGCTCTAGAAATTCGGGATCCCTAACCTCTCGCATTCTTACCCCATCGAAGTATTTAAAATACAATATATCGATAATTTCCGGAGCCAGGAAGCGCAGTCGGTAGGTCTAGAATCTGTTACCGGCTATGCCGAGTGCTCTCTGGGCATCCACTGGCATCATACCTCGTAATGCTGTTGGGGGCTCAAGAAACGATCATTCTTCAAAAGGTATTCCACTTGAGCCGCCCTCGCCTCAGGCCCCAAAAAATTTCCAAGCCCGTATATCGTAGAGTCCGCCAGGTGCCCTTTCACCTCGTTCATCAAGTGGGAACGGACACGGGAGTGCAGACTTCTGACCTATCATTCTCAATTATGCTTCCAGAGCACTCGTAATCGTTCCAGGGGCACTCTCCTGTTTAATGACAACCTCATCAAGGTCTACTCTACACCCCACTCGGTGACTTGCAGTCGCCCACATGCTCACTACCAGTAACGAAAGTCTTGCTGCAGGTGGAAAGGGCTCATGTAGAAGAGTATGCTCCCCGATTAACACGCTACACTCCTTCTCAATCCTCTGAGCCTGCACTGACAGCACATTTGCACTCCTAGAGTTAGGGACCACAGACCTCTGAGTCAATTGGCTCGAAGGAATGTCGCCAGTGTTCTCAAAGACGTCGTGAGTGTCCTCCGGAATACTAACCTCGCTTCCCGGAATCAAAATACCCTCGTTTTCCGGCGTCGGAGTACTCTCGCCCCCCCCCCTAGATGAGGAAAGGTACTTGATTTCGTAAACTCTTCGCGATCTACCTTGACCGTGAAGTTGGCTTGAAGGAATCTGACGACTGCTCACAGAGTTCTCGCCAATTACCTCGCTAGGCGGTGAAGAACGATATGTCCGGTAAGTGGGGGACGACTCCCCGATTCGAGAGCGCATCGAGGAAAAATCGATATGGCGCGTAGAAGAGGTATACTCATGAGCATAAACAGGTGCAGAGGGCCTAGACTGTGAGGGTGTTGGGGGTGCTCTCTGGGATGCCGGGAGTGCTCTCTGGGATGCATTCTGGCTGGGTGCTGAAGTGGGTGCTGCTCTCCCTTGACCTTGTTTACGTATTACTTTCGCGCCCGGTCGAGTTCCCCTCTGAATCGTTAGCCACTAATACTTACATGTTAAAACGCATCAATGAGCGAGATAGAGTCGAACCTGTACCACGTCCACCGACACGTTGGAAGAAGCAATGACCTCCGCTACCGCGCCAGTTGGTTTCCTCCGAGCATTGCCCAGTGCTCTGGCAGTAGTCGGCTGAACTGTATGAGGTCTCTTTCCGACAGTCTGAGACTTCTGGGTGTAAGATGGGGGGGGGGCTTGAGGTTCATCCTCCGGTTCATCCTCATCCTCCTCAGAGCTCTCGTGGTCATTCTCCGGAGCATCATCATAGTCTGAGTGGCTAGTATCAACTATTTCTTCCACCTCTGGCGCCTCAATTGCCTCTGGCACCTCAATTGCCTCAGGCTCCTCCTGCGCTTCAAAATTATCAGTATGATCCTCGGGGAGATGAAATTCTACCCTCCTAGGACTGCTCCTCCCAGTGGCGGTTTCGGAGGAACGGAGAAGACCTTTCCGAGTTATTTGAGCGGCAGTGGTCGATTGACTACTCCGAGTTTGGGCTGGCAGTGGAGTCAATGTTCGGTAAAATATTTCAGACTCGTCAGTCAGTAAATCTTCATGTTCTTCAGGTCATTTTGGGAGTCGTGGGCGCTTTGGGGCAAGAGGTGCTGAACCGGAGGAGCGCTTGGTGGGAGCCATTCTGATGACTGGCAGGAATATCCGCAGTGCTCTAGGAGCACTCGCGATATCTTTGATTAGAAATCAATTCTTGGCGAGAAAATTTGCGCCGCTAATCAAGAAAAATTTGCACCGCTAATCCTCTTACGGCAGGGATCATCCTATGTTACCACAATTTCTGCACTCAACCGCATCATTTATCATCACTCGTTTTACTGCACTTTCTGAAGCGGTACCAAGTGCTCTGAGAGCAATCTAGGAGTTTGATTCGACTTTGAAATAAAAGCAATGCAATTACTACCTGGAATAATCTAATCTAATCTAATCTAATCCTATCCGATATAACCCATCCATTGATATACTCTCGCAAGACAAAGGGAAATCCAAAACACCAAATCGTACCGCACCTCAATAGCTATCGCGAGTGATCAGGGAGTAATCCTAACAACTATTAAAAGGTTAGTGACAATTCCGCAGGAAGGGAAGTTAGAGATTATACCAAAGGGAACTATTGATGCCCACCACCATCACCACCATCACCACCACCACCATCACCACCGCCTCCAGCTGGCCCACCACCACCATCACCACCGCCTCCAGCTGGCCCACCACCACCACCACCACCGCCTCCAGCTGGTCCTCCACCACCACCGCCGCCCGGAGGAGGAGGAGGTCCGCCCGGAGGCGGTGGAGGTCCTAGACCACCACCACCACCACCACCACCGCCACCACCACCACCACCACCACCACCACCACCACCACCACCACCACCACCACCACCACCACACCACCTCCAGCACCAGCAGCCGCGAGTGCGTCAGCAGCTCTCTTGGCTGCTATCCCGGCAGGTGTCCAGATCGTCCCCTGTAAGAAGTTTGGGTCAGCAACCCCGACACCCAAAGGATACTTCCTAAAGTATTTGGGGTCTAAATCGTCGATAGTATCCTGCTGTCTATCGCGACGCCTAACAAGAGTCTGAATTAGTCTTTGATTACTGGCATCAGTTCTAGGCATATATACCCTCAGTCCTTTGGCATTTATCCGGTGCTTTCCCTACTGGTAATCCGAATCCTCTGCAGGAATATCGATCATGCTATAATCATCTTCCCCAACGTGAGGGAAAGCCGGGTTCAACGGGGGGGATTCCGCACCACCCAGGTTAGCACCCGCGCCTGCTCTGTGTAGGACCGCCAATATCCTCCGAGGCCTGGCATTGCTGTTCTTCAACCAACCTTCGAGCTCCTCTGAATCGGTAATTTGTACCTCCACCGGCCGAACGGGAGGAACAGCTGCCGGAGGGACATTCTCAATTGCCCCCAGATAGTCCTGACTGCTCTGCCGGGTGCGGTGTGCTTCAGGATCAAGTTGCATAGCTCGGGGAAAGTTATCTTGGTCAAAATTCCGATGAACGAAGGTTCGTTCAGGGGATCATTCCAGTCATAAGTAGGTGGTGGGACGAGCATAAAGAATGCCCCTAGAGCATCGGGGTCCACCACGGTAACCATTATGGAAGGTCCCATGAGTTCCGGAGGTACTGCACGCTCTTTCCCTTTGCGAGAGCGTCTTCCGGCTGCCTGACCACCGCCGTCATCATCATCATCACTATCACCGGCAGCCTCTTTGAACTGACGGTCTCCCTGACCCCTTGATAACCTATCCTTCATACCAACATCTGCGATGAGCCACTGTAGAGCACTCGCCAGTGCTCTACGGGCATCGGAGTCACCCCCAGTCCAAATTGGCAGAAAACCGTTGAGGGAGGGCAAGTTCATCAAGTAAAGGCATAGGGCACTGAACGCAGCCATACCGGACGTGCTTTTATTGACCCAACCCACATTTTGCATTTCCGCCTTTAGGCTGTTGCGGATGCTGGTGTACACTCTAGGTAGGTTGAGTAAACATAAAGTCATCTTCGCTTTGCTTGCTTGAGTCATCTTGAATGCGGTCGAGCTCGGGGATGTCTCTTGAACACTCGGGGATGTCTCTTGGACAATCGGCGATGGCACGGGTCTAATTAGTCTCTGTCGTACTGGTGAGGGGTGGTCTATTAGTTCGGACGGGCTTGCACTAGAAAATAACCGAGAGGGGCGTCGGGGCTTGAATGTAGGGGTCTCCGGTGCAAGAACCTTCGGTGGAGCACTGACGGGTGTTGGTGAGGGAGTAGTAGAGCCTGCTGGGCCTGTTGAGGGGCCTGTTGCTGGGCCTGTTGCTGCTGGGCCTGTTGAGCGGACTGCACTAGACTTGGACCGAGTGAGAACTTGACTTGGGACTATGGTCTTCCGGGCAACGTTCTTTTGTGGAGCACGAGCGGGTGCTGGTGGGGTAGCACTAATCCTAAGTACGGTCGTCCGTACAAGGGCCTCTGGTGAAGCACTGCTGCGTGCTGAGGAAGCAGTGGAGACTGCTGCTAGTGGGCCTGTTGCTGGACCTGTTGCTGGGTCTTGATCGTCACTTATGTATGGTTCAGAGGGTTCGGAACCAAAGTCGGGAAAGGAGTCGGAATCAGTTAGGGTTGCTCCCCAGTTACTCGGGAAGATCCCTTCAGTGTCCGATGGAGCTAGGTTAGTATTTGGCGGAGTCCGGGTTTCAGTCCGGATTGGTGGAGGTACAGGGTTTTGTTTTCGGCTCTTGTTGATCGGGGTGAACCCGGAAAGCACTGGCGACTGCTTAGGGGGTGTTTCTGGTATCTCCTCCGGGATAGGCTTGACAGTTTTGCGGGACGATTTGCGACCTGAAGAAGTTCGGTGTTTCTTATGTTTTCGGGACGATTTGTGTTTCTTGGTTTTTCGGTGGGTCTTTTCGTTATCGTCTTCGTCTATGTCACGCAAACGCTTCTTATTGGGAAGTTGATTTATGTTCTGTGAGCTACCGGGAGTGCTCTGAGCGGTGTTTGGAGTCTGATAATGTTAATATATCACTGTGGTGAGTATGGTTCTAAAATTAATTGGATTAGGAGAGAGAAATACCATCTTATTTATAAAGATTGCAAAGGTTAAATCGCTTGAAAACGGAGGAACTTGAAGGATGAGATTTCAACAGGTAATGTTGAAAGCAATGGAAAACTTGAAGTGATAGGTAGAGGAGAACTGGAAGGTGGTTAGGAACTTCTCACGAACTTGAAGGAAGGGAGGGGTGCTCTTATACCGAGTACGATCAGCTTTTTTCTTGAGCTTATCACGCTTCCGAGAGCACCCACGAATGCTCTAGAAGCACTCGAGGGTGCTCGTACTCAATGTTTGCTTCAATATATGACGTTGATCTAAATGCTCCAGGCGCACTCGGGGATGCTCTGACGGTACCAATGGTGACGTCGATAACGTTCTGGTGTTGGGGTTGGTGCTTGTGTTCTTGTTGGTGTTGGTACTCTGTCCTCTAGGAAGCTGATTCGGAGAGAATGTATTCTTTGAGCTCGTAGTCGATATTAGTGTTGAATTTGGCGCTGAGAACACTGTCTCGATCTGAAGAGACTCCGCGAGTGCTCAGGGAGAGAGTGCAGATGCTCAGGGCGATAGAATCTAGCATAACTGGCCGCCTGATTGGGGTGGTGGGTGTTTCTTCGTGTTGGTGTTGATGTTTGTATTAGGTCGGTGATGTATGACATCAGACTCGTATTGAAAATCAGCCTTGCCGACCGGGGTGCAGGTGAGAGGAGCCTCATTGGCTGACAAATCAAATTATTCGAGCACTCTGCAGCAGCACCTGCAGGAAAGAGCCTCCTCGGCCTTGGCAGAAACCAAATTTTTAGAGCACTCAGGAGTGCTTTGCTAGCATCATGAGACTTCAATGAAATCGTCTTGCCCCTTTTGCAGCAAGCGGTACAGCTCCTCCGCGAACTTCGATAAACATCTTCGAACTACACATCCATTTGAAGCAGATGAATGGCTGGGAAACCAATTTTTACTCCTGGAGCGCGATCAAGAGGCACCCGATGACACTCACGACAGCCCGGAAGGCATTCACGATTCCTATTCAGATGCCCATGACGACTCGGATAGTTTGGAGAGCAACAGTATCAATTATCATGACCAAGATCCCGATAATAATTCAGATCTGGAATCCGAATCATATTTTATGATGGAAGAGACAGATGGAGATGCAAATAGGCATGAGGCAGCGACAACGATTTACGAGGGTGCTGGGGAGCGTCTCTACCGCTCGGAGGACTACGACGAATGCTCACAAAACCTTCTCCGATACCCGTGGCACCCATTCAACTCAGCATACGAGTTTAGAATGGCACGTTATTTCATATTGTCGAAGGCCTCACAAGGAAATATCGACAGTTTCTTTCTACACGCTCCGTCAAGCAGTGGCGAATGCTCCTACAGGACTGGCGAGGTTTTATAAAGAGGTTGGACGAAATGAATGACATATTGGGAAAGGCGAGCTGGCATCATTCGGAGGTGGATATTGGGGGAGAGAAAATCCCTTACTATTACCGGGATCCAATGGTAATTGTGCGATATCTTCTATGCCAACGGGCCTTTCGGGAGTCATTGGTGTACGCGCCAGTGGTAGAGCATAATGAATCTGGCGAGAGAATGTACGGGGAAATGCATACGGGAGATTGGTGGTGGGAGACGCAGGTCTGGTAAGCCTCACAAGTGCTCTAGAGGCAGTCGCTAATGCTTTCTGGACAGAATACCTTACCGGAGGGGTCGACTGTGGTACCAATTATATGCGCGTCAGATGGCACACATTTGACAAATTTTAGTGGGGATAAGAAAGCCTGGCCAATCTATTTTACCATCAGGAACATCAAGTCATCGGTCCGGAGCAAGCCCACCGGGCATTCGTTAATTCTCCTAGGGCTACTGCCAGTCCCACCTAAGCTCGGGAAGAACTCACTCGCTAATTCCGCTTTACGACGTCAGAGTCAAATGGCGCTGCATCGCGCCCTTGGGGAGATCTTTCAGAGCATTCGGGAGTGCTCTCAGGAAGGCGAGCTAATCGCATGCGCCGACGGGTACGAACGTCTATGCTTTCCGGTGTTGTCGGGTTGGATCGCTGATCAACCTGAGTATTCAAACTTACAAAATATTATACTAGCTCTTGTCCAAGATGCGAGGTGGAATTCCACAGTCTTGGGAGCACTCGCCGGAGCCCTACGCGCGATCACGAGGATTACCGGGAGAGGTAAAGCTATTCAGGGAGAACCCGGGAACCTGGACCGGTGGAATACCTTGTCGCGAGATCAGTAAAGACACTCTTCAATGCTTTCTGGGGTATGCGAGGGTTAATCCATACGATCTCACAAACCGGACATTCTGCACAATATCTACCTAGGGATGTTGAAGCACATGATGGAGTGGGTTCAGGCTTTCTTGAAGAAGCACAATCGATTGGAGGAATTTGACAAGGCTTGGGCCTCGATTGCGCCTTACCCTGGACTGGCAGTACCGAACAAGGCATATCGTGCCACAACCCAATGGCAAGGGAAGGAGATGAGAAATCTGGGCGGGTCGTTCTTGGAGCACTCGCGGCTGCTTTGAGAAACCCGGGGGTGGCTGTCAGGGGCGACTTCGCAAAGGCATTGAAATGTGTACGAGGCTTAATCGACTTCCACTTAATGGCGCAGTATGGGAGTCATACGACGAGCACACTGAATTATTTGGAGAGCTATCTCGAGGATTTCCATAAGCACAAGGATATCTTTTTAGAATTCCGGGCGTACAAGAGGACGGTTAAGGATGCGAGAGATCGGACAAAAGCTGTGAAGACCTCAGGCTCCCAGAGCGCTCAGCGAGGTTTGGAGGAGATTCGCGAGATACGGGAAAGGTCTCACTTCAACTTCATCAATTGCACGTGTTAACGCACTATCGGAACATGTCGAGCGCTTTGGAGCATTCCCCAGTACTCCACCGACATCAGCGAACTCGCCCATGTACGTCAATAAAAGAGGCATACGGAGCATCGAACAAGGTCGATGCTGCAACGCAGATACTGGACTATGGGGGGCGGCGGTTGGCGTTAGAGATTCGAATGCTGAATCTGAAAGACATTGTTGGAGGTCCTGAGAGCACTGACGACATCCTTTGGAGCCATCGAGATAACCTGAAGGAGTTACTTGAGATTTTTAAAATCGAAGACCGGAAAAAACACCAAATGAACGATCCATAGTAGAAGGCCGACTGCCTCTAAGGCGTCTTTTGCAACCCCTCCACGAAATCGGAAAGACTTTTCAATATTGCGGATGGACTGCAAATAAGCCATACCACGTTATATCGCCTGATAAAAGAGTATGCAGAGGATGCGGGATGCTCTCAAAGCTTTGCCGGAAGCTCTGAGAGCATTTTAGAGCGCCGGGTGGAGATGTTCACATGTTTGCAGGTTCCGATACCAATCTTCCAAAGACCTGAGGTGTACGAGGTTCACAATATCAGGTCTACGGGAAACGCAGCTTTTAGGAAAGGGAAATAAGAAAGGATTGGGTATGGGTGTCGGTAGCGTCCTCAGAGGAGTGGGGAGTATTTCGGGGACGCTTACCAGGACGTGTCGAGGCTTTGTTCAAGCTGCGGGACAGTGGGGGCGAGCCATAGACTATGTATAGTGGAGCTACTCGAGGCAAAGGATCGTGGTATGCTGATAGCTCACATGGGCTCCTGAAGTTGTAGGAGGAGGAGGAAGAGGATGGGGTCGTTTAATATTCGGAGTATATTGGGAATGGCCTATTTGTTTGAGGTGGAGACTGGTAATTGTTGGTAAATACTAGGATAGACTTGCGTACGTGAATGAATTTAGTTGAATACTTGTAAAGCCGTGAGGGCATTCTTGAGTGCTCTAGGAACGTTAGACCCAATTGGACTCTCTAATTCAAAATTCGTATGTTCTGCTATGCATGCGGATTGGAAGAAGGAGGTAAGTTTCGGGCCGCTCAGTATCTGAGTCTGTCTATCCAGCAAGCTCGCTCCAGGAGGTCAATGCCAGTCCATGTTTGCTGCTTATGCATGGACATTGAGCTTTTCAGAGAGCGTACCATGGCCTCAACCTCAAAGGCTAATTATGCCTTTCACGAATCGACAGAAACATAACGTCCGTCAAAGGTTGGGTAGTCGTCACCAGTATACAGGACAGTGCTCGTATCAGTATCCTGCGACTGACCGTACAGCGGCATTGAGGATACCCACGTTAGATATCTTTTGAGGGACTGGTGCGGCCTTCCTATCCTTTGAGGACGGTGTATCAATCCAAAGGAGCCCAAATGAGGGTTGCCTCACCTTGAGTGGGTATGACGAATGCCTCAGCTCTGTGAGCATTGGTGAGTGCTCTGGGAGCACTTCGCGGGAGCCCTCGCTGACGTTCGTGGGAAGCGTTCGCGGGAGCATTCGCATTCGCGGGAGCATTCGCGGGAGCATTGCGGGAGCATCGCGGAGCATTCGTGAGTGCCGTGAGAGCATTCGCCGTGCCGTGAGAGCTTCGTCGTGCCGTGAGAGCATTCAAGAAAACTGTGAGAGCATTGGGAAGTGCTCGCGTGTACTACTGACGTAATCAAAAGAAGCAAAAGTTCCTAGGTGCTGTGGGCGGAGTCACTCCATCCTAGCGTCTCCGGAGGGAGATGGAATCTGATGGCGGCCCAGGCGACCAGAGCATTGACGAGTGCCCTCCGACGTGAGCCATATCTCCTGGCGGTCCCAGAGAGTGGGACGGTCCTACGGCGGAGCCTGGCGCGAAGGTTGTACTCTGGCGGTGCCGGACGCGCTGGGGCGCTCGTGGCGCAGAATGCCCACCAGGACGTGGGGCTGCCCCTGGGTAATAGGCGAGC